TAAGTTTTCCATAAAACAACAATGTATTTTTCAATGGAACCAGTGTATTCCTGCATTAATAAAAAAGTCTTAGAAAAAATATCCACTTGTTACGAATTTTTTACTGCTCAACAGAATTCAATTAAAAAATATATTGTTGGAGTGTATTACTTTATAATTTCTCTCTGTACTGTAGTTGTCTTCAATATATAATCTCTTTAACGAACAAGTGGTTTGATTTTTATTTTATCTATTATTTACCTATCTTATATTTATTTATTATTGTGTTATTAATGTTACATTTTATGTTATTATTATATCTAGTTATCATCTATGATTTGTACATACAATTTATATTGTATTATAATATTCTTAATATTATTGGTACTTTATTATTATTGTTATTATTTTGTATTATTACTATTATTATTACATATATCATTATTATTTGTTTAACAATCTTTTCTTCTTTTCTCTCTTATTTATATATACAGATGTTGAGTTTTTCCTTTTTTTTTGTTTGTTTGTTTGTTTGTTTGTTTGCTTTTGTTTCTTTTTTTGTTTCTTTTTTTTTTTTTTTATGTATTTATTTATTTATTTTTTCGTGAAATTTTTATGATTTTTAGGTGTCACTCCATTGACTAGTTTGTAACTATATGAGAGACACCTAACCAATTTATATTAATTTACGATGAAATTTGTAAATTTTATTGATATGGTTGAATTAAAAAAAAAAAAAATAGACAATACAAAACAAATTTTAACAATAGGATAAAATAAAAAACAACTAATAAATAATTTTAATAGCAATAGCAGTAATAACAGCGAAGTAAATAAATTTCAAAGTAGTTATTAAAAAAAAACTAGTTTGAAATTTATTTACTTAATAGTATTTGTTAAAATATATTTAAATTTTAAAGTACACTTTGAAATTTATTTACTTCGCTTTTCCTAAACATTCTGGAAGTTTTTAAGTCTCTAAGTTTTTTGCACTCTATGAGAGTGCAAAGAATTTAAAGAAACGCTGCTTAATTGCATGAATACCTTGCACAGAAATATATTAAGTATTTTTATAAATTAAGTAGAGGAATAATAAAAATAAATGTTTAAATCGCATTATTTACATTATTAATTAATTCTCAATAAAATATTATATTAAAATATTGTTCAATTTAAAAAATAAGTATTTAAAATTTTTGGGGGCCTCTAATTATGTGGGGCCCCCTAGGCCATGGCCTAGCCGGGCCTATTTTATGATCCTGCACTGGTTGGATGCAACTATATTTTTATTTACTTCATATCTTTTGGACTTTGTGTTTATAATATTTATATTATAAACACAAAGTCCAAAATATTATGTATATCTTTACCGCATATAATTGATTTGTTACTTGTAAATACATTGTAATTATAAAAAAAAACATGTAATAAAAAAAAAAAAATTTGACGAGCTCCATGAATGAACCTAAAGCTTCATAAGCTAAATTCTTAAAAAGCTTTGGGTCCATCAAAAAAAGCTATATAGTTTTTAAAAGCAATTATGATAGTTCAGTAATGGCTAAGAAACGCTTTCTTACTAATTAGCTCACTTTTTTGTTTTCTGTTAACTCCAAACTTAATTAGTGGGTTGATTGCAGCGATGTTGGGAATGAAGTTATTTAAAAAAATATTTCCTGATTTCCATTTCTTTAAAGTTTGCAGATAAAACTAAAAAAGTTACTAATTTTTAAGCAAAAATCCAAGTTCACAAAGTTTACATTTATTTTTGTTACTAAGGTGCTCTAAAAAGTCCCAACGATCTTCTCACAGAACACCGTGTAATAGCATTTAACCATGAAGTTCACGCTTCTCTTTATACTAATGTTGAATATATTGCCAGTGCCGCCTTGAAACCGCGAACCTCTAGTTCTGAAGCCAGATTCCTAACCACTACACCACGGCTCCTAAACTGCACCTACGATGTATTTGATATATATATATATATATATATATATATATATATATATATATATATATATATATATATATTATATATATATATATATATATATATATATATATATATATATATTCATAGTATTATACCTATAAAATATGTAAATAAAAATTAAAAATTAATTTAATTCAACTTATTTTGTTTTTATAATTGTTTTGATCTTTTTTAGTTGAAAGAGCTTTCAACTAACTATGTCGCACTAGATCATAGCTTGTTGAAAGCTCTTTCAACTAACTATGACTTAGTGTGAAACGAATAAAATTTAACTATGAATTAATAAAAGGTAACGGGTCGTCTATAAATTTTGTCAGGCAATTTTCGACTGTCTTTTTCGACTGTCTCAATTTTCGAACTCCTACCTCTTCCCTCGTCACACTTTGTAACTCTTTAGTAACAAGTCCCGTAGAGTTGTAACAAAACATAAACCCCTTTACTTAATCCCCCTAGAGCGTGACGTAATTTATGGATGACCCCTAATGTTAAATCTATAGAATATAAAAAGAATGTATTATTTTTAAAGTACTGATATTGATTCGATATTTCCTTTAGGCTCAAAATAAAAATCTAAATATTCTAAAAACAATTAAAATTGTTAGAAGACAAGCTTTAAAAGAAAAAAACTTTGTTTACAATTTGTTAATGGTATCCTTTACTGAAAACTTCTGCATGTAAAAATAAGTTGATTAAGGTGCTTTGAAAGGCCTAGGGTGGGTTTGTAAGTTGGGTATTACAATCGTGAGGATTAGATCCTTCAAATGGTTCAAATGGTGTTCAAATGGTTCCTTTTTTTTATTTTACTAAATATCTTCTGGATTGAAGAGGCATTGATTTGCAAAGAATGAGTCAACATCGTCGGAAAAGCATTTGATAACATCCTAGCGTGCAATATGATAGTTTTGGCGTTTAACTCAGGTAACTTAGTTGAGAAGTAGCGAGTTCAATTTTGAATAGGACTCTAGTAGCCTCTAAAATGTTGCGGACCTTGGTCAACATTTCATGTTGGCCATGGTAAAGACAGCGTTGCATATCCAAGATAGCTTGCAACTTCTGTTTTTTAAGAAACATTTCTGTTTCTTTAAGAACGTTTTTTTTTTTTTTTTTTAATATGTATCCGGCTTATTTTTAATATGTTTTTCAATGTTATTATTATTTTTTTTTTTGCAAAAAAATTTTGAATATAAAATCTAGAATCTTAAAATTGGGATGTATGTTTGTCTTCATAATGATTCATTAAAACTTAAACAAAGTAATTCTTGTCCTTGTCATTTGATATCGATTTAATTTTTATTACCATTATGATAATGGATTTTTTTTTTTGTAAATCGGCGAGAATATCAAGGTTATTTATTTTGTCTAATTTGCAATTTGAAAGAGCGTGAAAGCGCTATTTTTTATGGTTGATATTTTGTGGTATAATATTTTAAAGTTTAATTGGTTTTTGCTTCTGACGATAAAAAAAAGTTAAATTGAATTCAATTAATTTAATTAAACATCACTTGAATTTAAACGCATTCATGTTTTGAAAACAAAAAAGTTTGAATGTGTTGGTATTTAAGAATGACCAAAATTTAAAAGATATAACCGAGTTATTTAATTTACACGACAAAATTTAAAATATAATAGGTTTTTATGGATTGTTGGAAAAAGAAAAAATTTGAAGAAAAATGAAAAATCTGATTTAAGTATGATTAAAGATAAAATTAATCTGAAAAAAAAATGTGATTAATGTGATTAAATTATCAACGGTTTCAAAGACTATGAACAAAATGTAGTTGAAGAAGACTGTAATTGATACAATTCAAAAAGCTAAGAAACGCTATAAATTTAGCTAAAACGAAGATTTAAAAAAAAAAAAAATTGTAAGGAAAAAATCCTTATGTCAAACATATCTCAAGTTTAATGACTGTATAATTAGACAGCTACTGAAGTATAAGTAGACAGCGACAAGTATAATTAGACAAGTACTGAAAAAATCGAACTCTAAGAATGTTAAAATTTGGATGAAGAACTATAATTTAGCTGATGTTTCTAAAATAAGAAACAAAACAAGCACAAAATCCAGGAAAGTATTTAAGTTATTTTGAAATTGTGGTAAGTTATGTTTTGTAAACTTAGTCATTTAGGCACATAAGATACTAAAAGTTTTTTTGCCTCACTTCATCGTTTAAAACATAGTTCACAGGATATCAAATTTTCGGAAATTAATCCAAATTTTAAATTCAAGTTAGAATTCGTTTTGCTTATTTATTGTCTCAAGCTCTTTTATCTCTATATCTATTGCTCTATTGTCCAATTATATAAAACTTTATCTGTTCCAATGCTAACGTATGTTCTTGAGTACTAATGAAAAAGGTTGATATAGTTAGAAGGAACGTACTGAAGTCACTCTCAAACGTTTCAAAACATAGTAAAAATTGTATCCATTCTTTATTTTTTATCCAGGATATATCAACTATCATGTAGCAAAACTTTTTTATTCGCAAAAGTTAAACTAGCTTATTCACTTGTTAAAAAATAAAGTAACATATGATATTGTTGAGTTGCAGTTGAAAAATTAAACAGCTACTTACCCTTTTGTAGATAGTGTCAAGGTTTTGTGCAATAGTCACGAGCTAAATCTAGACAATATAATGCAAAGCACAGAAAGAAAAAATTACAATTTTAAAATATATAACTCTCGAAAGGGATCTTTAAAATGTGCAATTGAGTGCTGGAACTCAAAGAAACAAAGAACAATCTTTAAATATATTCTTGAAGAAAAAGTTCAGAGATGATGTTTCGAAAAAAATCTTGAAGAAAAAAAAGTTCTAAGACGATTATATTAAGTTTATCTTTAATGTAACTTCATTTACCATACTGGTATTATATAGTAGGTGTTTAATGTAACTTTATATACTTTACTTGTAATATATAGTGGGTGTTTAACAAATGTAATAATAATAATTAACATAAACAATATAACGGTTTTTGAAATTATAATTGCAAACAATTGAATGTTAAAATTAAAATTTAAGTAAATAAAACA